TGGAAACACTGTCAAAGTTGCCTGCGGCGTGAGTAAAGTGTGTTGGTGCTCATTGAGAGCCATTGATTTTGTCCGTGTGCATATGTGCGTGCGCACGTGTATGTGCCAAACAGCGACCACTAGCGACCAGACTATGCGAGACTCCTGTTGATGACTGCAGACTTTCAACAGGCGTGTGCATGTGTAGAGATCACAGGTGGAACTAATGAGACATTTAACCAGTGGTCGTTAGTTAGTACTGTCCCTGTGAGATCAAACCGGTTCAGTTCAGATGTAAAAATGACGTATTTTCTACCTTTTTGGCTCTTTACAACAGAATAGTGTTTTTGTTTTGTTTTGTTGGACAAATAATTTAGAAAGGTGTTTTGTTTGGGAATCATATAATCACATTTTAATCCATGCACTGGTATTTTGTAAGCAGTGACTAATTGATTATTTCAGAAAATAATCAGATGATTTATTTTGTGTAATAGTTGCTGCTGTTGGAAAAACCATCACATCTTGTGTATTTATCAACTAGTCCTTCAGGCTTATTCATTATCATTTGCAAATGAAAGGTTTTATGCAGAACTGAAACCCACTGCACTTAAAACATCTGTTCAGGCAGAACATTAATAACATGTTAAACAAAAGTAACAATTGCGACAACAGGCAGAAAAATAATGAAAGAGCATTAGATTTTACCGAAGACCACATTAAGACTGAAGTCATTAAAAAGCCATTACACTGACAAACTAATAACACAGCATAACAGTCATTGTGGGAATCACCGCAGGAGTCACAACATTAATGCAACAATTAGGCCTTCATACGACATGATTAGAATTTTGAAATGTTGAGATTAAGTTTATCATGATCATATTAAAATTTAGTTAGACATTTTTTAACGATTCAATATATCACATCTAAAAACATTTACTTTATAATTAATGGTAATGGTAACTGAGTTTAAAGTGATTTGTCTAAAATGAAATAACTTAAGTTAACGCAACATTGCGCTGTACACCTTTAAAAATAGTACAGTCATTTTAGGATCGGGCTAAATTTTTCATAATATTTGACAGACCTTTATGACACAGGAACAGGTCAAAACAAACCCATAAATCATTACCAGCTGTTGGAGTATCTCTGTTACATCCACACATGTGGTAGTATTATAGCCACCAGACTATATAGAGTATCAAATAGAGTATTTCTCTATTGAAGATACAGAAATACCCTCATTTTTGCATTTTTGCTCCTGGCCAGTTGACATTACTCTTCATCTGTGTAATCCCTCTCTATTTAATCCCTCTCTATTTAATGTCAACAGCTTTTGCACCAGACAGTGATGACAGAGACAGTGAGTGACAGAGAGATCTAACTTTATTCACACTTTGAAAATGAGCTCACAGCAACAACACACATGGTTAAAGTGGGTGCTGTTTTCGTCATACAGCAGACGTATGTATTTCAAATGATTCAACATATTAAACCAAAAGTGGAGAGGATTTATAAAAAGGATTATATTGTTGAATATTTTTATTCACCTTCATTGAAATGTCCTAGTCTTTCACAATGTTCAACGCTACCCTTAATTTTTCCCCCTCTCAATCAGCAGACTCTGTACATTATAACTGTAGATCACATTTATTTCAGTTTGATATAAGGATTATTATATTATAAAAACTATTTTTCACATGAGCATGTACCCGTTTTACAGTACCCCCTGATATTTCTTCAATTTACATTCAGTGCATACTGCATGCAAATAAGTCACAGTATAATCAGAGGGGGACATGCCTGGGATCCTGTGTTTCATTTTCTTATCTGCAGGCAGTTTACATTTGGCTTTATTGCTTCATTATATGCAGATATTATTTTTGCTGCTGGGGTTTTAGTGTATAAAAAGATAAACTGCTTCATTTTTCAACTTGTTTTTCAACTGTCTGTTGCAGGAAAATATGACATGTGACATTCACAATAAGCAGGGTTTCTTTTCTTTTTTTCAAAATCAAATTATTGTTATGTGGTAGGTTTTTTTTTCTGCTACAGCTCATACTTGTTTAGTTAATGAAGCAGATTCAGATGATATTGACTTCTCAGCTCCTCTGGCCTGGACTCTGCAGTTCTGCAGCTAATTGATATCTTCAGTCTTCAGTCCTGACCCTAGAAGACACACACACACTCTCACACCAAACACACACACACACACTGCATTCCACATTCCCTCTTATTACTAAACATTGATTGGCCCGTCAGTGGCTCAGTTCAGTCCAGATGAATACACATTTGGAGCTCTCACATATCACTTCTGTCTGTCTCTGTCATTGAATATTAGACTAATATGTTTGTTTATATTACCATGGAAACACTTTTAAAATTTAAAATGTTTGTTTGTAGCCTTAGATTTATATCCTAATATGTATTATAGATTGCACCATGTCATCAACAGATGTCAGTGTTTCCAATGTTCAAACAAAAAATAAAATCCATTAAACCGTAGAGGTTATTTAATGGATTATGAAACAATAATACAATGAAACAATACAGTGTTCTGCCGCTCTCTGAAATACACAGAGTAAAATGTAGAGGAGAACAGTATTATTACACAATAAAATAAAATTAAACATCATTAAATTAAAGCTAGTGCGACATCCGCTGTTGCCGTATACTGTGTAAAATGCATTATTCTGCAAATAAAGTGAATGTCGGTGCACTGATGTAGGAATACTGCAGGTGGTGCCGCATATAAAGTGCTTGGTTATGGGATAGATGGTGTGGTTATGCAAATGAAAAAAAATCCTTAATGGTTTTGCAATTGGATGTTCATATCTACCACAACCAGACTCCAACTGGTCACACCATGGCCCTGACCTGTGGTCTATGATTTCCTGTTTTTCTCTAAACGGGATCATATTTTACAGGATGACGTCACGCTTTATTGACAAAAAGCTGAAACTGAATGTTTCAGCATAAACGTATCATTAAATGTTTATTGACATATAAACAGGGTGAGAGACATTAAACAAGGTGAAGGATGTAAAACCTGCCCTGTGTGTATTTCTAATTATTATTTAACCCATTTAAATGAACACATTAGCCAATAGGCTAACCAGCTTACAAGGCTGTCAAACAGCAATGTCTTGGCCCATGGTAAATCTCTTTAAATTAAAAAAAAATTAATTAGATTTTCCAGACTAACATGGCTTGAGTGGTGGTTAATATTCATAATAAATATTTGAATAAAACTAATAAAAAGATAATATCGACTTTTTTAAAAATGCTAGCTGGTAGCTAGGTGTTAATTAATGTAGCTAAGGTTTTTTGTTTCTGAAAGAAATCCTTTTACAAATGAAACAATACAGACTATTGTATTGGCATTTATATTTATATATACAGTATATTTATATTTACATATATATAAGAGAAAAAAAACTTATGAGCACAAGCCCTTGTAAAACAGGAAACATATACATGTGTTTCTGACAGTGTGACTGATCCTGATGTGAGCATGAACGCAGCTCCAGAACTAATTATCCAAGCTGTAATCTGTGGATTCCAGTGTACTGAACTATAAGGAAATCATTTTGGAAGCAGCAGCGGCAGCAGCGATGGTTAGCTAACAACAGCTAGCAGGCTAACAAGCTGATTAGACACAAAGCAAATCAGTCAGATGATTGATGATACGCTCGGCTTCTGGTACTGCAGCTGTTGCTCTGAGTCGACACGGGCTGCCAGTGCTAGCGTGTACAGAAAGACCAAGCACAGCAGTGGGCTGCTTCACGATTCCAAACCAGGAACAGTGGAGTGGAGGTGCGGTGAGGTGAAGGCGACATGCTCCTCAGGCCTTGTCCGCTTCTATCGACCTCTGGGACAGCGAATGATTAATCAATGCTCTGTTCTCAGAAGGCCAAGACTCGAACCATGACCATCTGGGAATTCCAATCAGTCGGTCAGAATGATTGACAGGCCGCTGAAACCTTATCGACCTCTCCGCCAGATAGAAGGAGCATTCGGTTGTTGTTGGAGCAGCAGATTTTCCTTTCTGATGTTGGAGGACGGCAGAGGAGCTTTTGGGAGCGCTCTCTCTGCAGTTTTATATTGGTGTGTTTCCTCCACTTGCACGCGCGCGTGTGTGTGTGTTTTAGGGGAAATGAGAGTTATGCCGAAACGCTTGCCTTGAAAACATTCCTCTCTAGAGAAATTGAAATTCACTGATTTGGAATCAGATCAGGAGTAAATCCAGTGTCACCAGGTGTGAAAATATAGACTTTTCCAATAACGCTGCAGGCGCAGAGGTGATGATGTGCACTGAGGCTCACTCTGGGTTTTATGGCCGGCTGTGTTTGTCGCAGTGCAACCGCAACAAATACAGCAACCCAAGGCAGGGCTGGCATTGCAGGGCAAAGTTGTAGAAGGAAGCTGTGTTTCCCTGGAAGAAGAAGGAGTTTCCTAGACAGAGTCCAGAGCTCTCTTAAACCAGTCTGAGTTTTGTTATGGACTATTGACACTGTGTAGAAAAGCTTCAGAGAGAGAATATACACATATATGTCTGCGTGTGTGTTTTTGGGTGTGTTAAATATCCATCTGTCTCTACAAAGTACCACAGTTAGTTCATTGTTTT